CTGCCTCACAGCCCTTGGTGATGAGGGTGCGCAGGGCCTGGCACACAGTGACCCTCAGGTCTGGACGCTCGCTGATGGCCATGCCCAGCGTCCGTGCCAGTCCTTTGAAGGAGGCGGCCACATCTGTGGGCCTCGTGCAGAACCCAGGCAGGAGCGTCCAGATCTGGGAAAGGAAGGCACAATAAAGGAAGGTGACATGCAGTCACCTGTGCCCATGTGCTTGTATCCATGCCCTCCCCTAGCTGACCCTTACCTGCCACTGGAGTGTGTCATAGATCTTGGACTCCACTGTGTGGCCTGCCTGAGCCAGGTCCATGGCTGCAGTGTGAGACAGGGACAAAGTGTGAGCCCGGCACCCTCCTGGCTGACCAGCCTTATTTACCAAACCAAACCAAAAGCCCAATCTCTTGAGGACAGGAAGATGAGTGACACCCCTTGTCCCCACAAATTAAATTGTATTTGTTCATTCTAAAATACTAAAGTGCTGTAATCCCAGCACTTTGGGAGGCTGAGGTGGGTGGATCACGACGTCAAGAGTTCAAGACTAGCCTGGCCAAGATGGTGAAACTCCATCTCTACTAAAAATGCAAAAAAATTAGCCGGGTGTGGTGGCAGGTGCTTGTAATTCCAGCTACTCAGGAGGCTTAGGCAGAGAATTGCTTGAACCCAGGAGGCGGAGGTTGCAGTGAGTCCAGATAACATCACTGCACTCCAGCTGGGCTATAGAGTGAGACTCTTGTCTCAAAAAAAACAAAACAAAACAAAGAAACCGAACCTATCATAAACAGAAAGTGAATGTCTCTCCATACTCTTACTCCAGAGGTAGCCTGTTTCTTGTTGCTCTTTTATACTTCTTTAAACACATGCCCACTTTTTTTTTTGAGACAGGGTCTCACTTTGTGGCCTAGGCTGGAGTGCAGTGAGGCAATCTCGGTTCACTGCAGCCTCAACCTCCCAGCTCGTGCGATCCTCCTACCTCAGCCTCCCAAGTAGCAGGGACTACAGGCGTGGCATGCCACCACATCCAGCTAACTTTTGGAAGACACAGGGTTTCACAATATTGCCCAGGCTGGTCTCGAACTCCTAAGTTCAAGCAACCCACCTGCCTCAGCCTCCCAAAGTGCTGGGATTACAGGAGTGCAACACTGTGCCTGGCCACATGTCCACCCTTAAAAACATAAATAGGAATATACTATACATATCTCATTCTGTAACCCTGTTTACTTGACAATAAAGCTGGTAACATTTACTGAGCAAGTACTATGTGGCAGTCTGTATAATGTGCACTTTACATGATTTTTTCATTTAATCCTCACAAACCTTGCCCATTTTACAGATGAGGAGCAGACCCTGGGAAATGAAACAAAACCTGCCCCAAGTCACGAACTGTGGAGTGGCAGAGTTAGGATACAGAACTTGTCTGTTCAACTCACCATCTGCTAGACTTGTCTGTCCCTACGTAGCGGTTTCTTTCTTTCTTTACAATGCCTATATCATATCTGAAAGTGGGGCTTAAAAAATCTCTACTTTTTGGGCCGGGCGCGGTGGCTCAAGCCTGTAATCCCAGCACTTTGGGAGGCCGAGGCGGGTGGATCACGAGGTCAAGAGATCGAGACCATCCTGGTCAACATGGTGAAACCCC